CATCAACTCCTGTGGATGGAGCACATCTCCTCAGCTTCATTTCCTTGCACCAGCCCTTTGGGCACATGATCATTAGCTCAGGGGTGTGAGAGCTACTGCCATTGCTGTGTGGCTCCGGCATCACTGGAGTTCCAGGGTTGTATGGAAGCACCAGTTTCCCCCCACATCAGCCTTCTAAAAGCATTTCATTTTTCATCTTTGGGTACCTGAAACTAGGAACCAAAAATGTTCCTGCCTTCTGGTTTTAGGTACAGAGTTTATGTCCCAACTGTACTCACAAGGGTCTCTTGCATTGGCCTCTGGAAAACCATGGCATTCTCAAAACTCATAAGCGCTAGGACTCAAACGCGACTTGTGTGCATAATGCATGTGGGTAAGGCAAGTCTCCCTGAGCTGCTGAGTGGGTTTATACTCCATATGTGTGATGCTGCATGTCCCACATCTGTAATTCACGCTTCTGTGTTAAACATGAAAAACATTTTGAATGCCCCTCTGGCCACTTACCTAAATTAGGTTGCAAAGCAATTTGAATTGGGGGGGGGGGGGAAGGTGCAGAGCACATAGCCATATCCATATATGAGGCACTTAGGTCCCATGATTCAGGAATGGGACCCCTGGCTGGGGTATGTGTGGCCAAATCAAGGGCAAATCACAGAAGTGCCAGCTGTCTAGCTGTGTCTCCCCAGTCAGGGAGGAAAGTCGTAAGGATCCATCAAGTTCCTCATCCCTCAGTGCAGTAGGGACAAACGAATAGCTAGTTCCATCGTCCCGTTCAAATGGAAGATCCAAAACTATCTAAAGAAGAACATCAGCGAAGCCAATGTTGGATCAGGCCAATGGCTCATCCAGTCCAACACTGTCACAGTGGCCAAAAATACCAGGTGCCATCAGGAGGTCCACCAATGGGGCTAGAGAGGAGAAAACAAGTAACTTCTGCTCCTCCTTTCCCTCCTCATCTAGGCAAAGGAGTGAACCAGCTGCCTCAATGGTTGCCACTGCAATGATCAACTTTCCCATCTTCTGGCCTCTCCTGTCCAAATGGCTCCAGGTAGCTGCATTGGTCAAAGGGGAAAGCCCAGAAACAAAAGCCACATGATGCCTTTTTGTTCAGGCCAACCGAAAAGAACACAAAACCCTGCAAACTTTCAAGTCCTCCAGAACTTTTCATCAAAAAGCAAACAAAGAGGGATGGGAAAATGGTTCGAGCCTGAGGCCCTCCATCGGCAGCCTGTGTAGAACACAAGGCCTCAGAATCATGGCCTCAAATACCCCCCCTTTTGTTTTAACATGCAGCTTGATCAAAAGTTCTAGAGAATCTGCAAGCTTGCACACTCTTGTATCATTTTGGTTGGTTTTAATAAAAAGTATCACATGGCTTTTGTTGTGGGAATTAGCCTTAAGGAAACATGGGGAGGGGTCAACACTTTTCTACTCCTTCCTGACTGCTGTGTCTAAAAATCTTTCCCATCCCGCCCTATAGGAATTCATCGTGATCTATATTCTCACATGAGTTTGCACCTCAGTTTTGGCAGCTTCCTCAGATATTTCTGGGAACTGCAGTTGTGCTGGGAAGGGCTAGCAACTGAATTCTGAGCACCCTCGGCACACTACAGTTCCCGTTCTCCTTTGTGGGAGAGCCACAACGGCTCAAGTGGCACAAAACCGTTACCGGGCAGGACCACCATGGATGTCAACAGTGACATTGCAAAGGCCCACTGTGCCCTGCGCTGCCCCCAAGAGCCTGTGTGTGTGTAAAGTGCCATCAAGTCACAGTCAATTTATGGGAACCCTCGTAGGGTTTTCAAGGCAAGAGACTAACAGAGGTGGTTTGCTGTTGCCTGCCTCTGCATAGCAGCCCTGGATTTCTTTGGGGATCTCCCTTCCAAATACTAACCAGGGCCAACCCCGAGAGCCTGCTCAGCTAGAATGAAGCTCTGTTTCTCTTCTGACCACTAGCTCCTCACTGAATGGTGTCTGAACGGAGAACAGGACGGGGGAAGCACTGTTGAGGGAAGTGGAAATTGGCACTTGGCAACTTTGGCAGTGGTTGGCTGGGCTCCTGCACTCCTTACTTGTGAGTAGAGTTGGCAGGGACAAGATGCCTGCAACAGAAAATTCACACCTCCTGCCATGATGCTAAACTTATATTGATGAACAAGGGAACGGGACAATCTGCTGGTGCTGAATGGTTCTTCCTGCTCTGCTGCTGATCCCCCCCCCCGCTGCTTTCAGCCCCACTTGAACTGGAACCTTCTCAGTCAGCAGATCGGCCGTGGCAACTGTGTCAAGGGGACGTCCATCTGGGAGACACGTGTATTCAAAAGGGAGGGCAAATCCCCTCCTGGCCACCAGCAGATCTACTCACAAATAAGCATCCCAAAGTTCGGGCTTCCTTCTTATATGTGCCCAGAAAGAGCAAACGGGGACATTTGCTGCACTTTTTGCACAAAGCCCATGCCAGCAGCAGAGGCATAGAAAATGGCATAATTATTCCACCCTTTCCCCCTTACAAGGCTTCTGCATTGCAGCTGTTCCGGTTCTGTGTGTGTGGTTTGTGTTAGCAATGCCCTACTTTGTTCACAGCTGCAATCTCCCTCCTCCTCCCCCTCCGTCACCACACCTCTCTCTCATGCTTTTGTGCACAGGCACACTCCACAACCAGTCCTGCACATGTGTTTACTTCCAAAGCTGAAAGGCGGGGAAGGGGGGCGCAGTGAAGCTGCCATCCCTTTGTGCTGTGCCTGAGTTTCTGGGGTAGGCTGGCATTTTCTGTTGCCCTCTCTCCTCTGCTGCTAATGGCCCGTGGTGCTTTGGGAAACACAATACAAGCTTGCTGTGTGTTGGGTGGGTGGGGGGAGAAATATTATCACACTCATCACCTTTTTCTAATGGCTTTTGTGCCGTTCACAAGGGCCTAATACCTCAAAGATCTGGGCTTAACTAGTTGAGAGGAGGACAGCTAGAATCAGGCAGTGGGGGAGAGACCGGTTCTTCTCCTCCAGCTCTGTGGCTGGATCTGAATTAGCTCCCCCCTCAGCTGCTTTTAAAAAAAGTGGGAGATCGAGTCACAGAGCCCCTTAAGTGAACCTTGTCAAAGGAGCGTCTGCTGTTTCGGTTCTTCCTCTCAAGATGCTGCTGAAGGTATTGGCAGCATATCTCCAGGTTGGGCCCCTGAAGGATCCTGGAGGGGGAGGGGTTCTGCCCAGGAGCCAACTGCACCTTGGGAATCAGGATCTCTTCTTCTGGATGGGGAAAAACACTTAGAGGTGCTGCCCAGCCTCTTGGTGAATTTCTAGCTGGGAGTAACTAAGAGCCTAAGTTCCAGGGAGGAGAGTGGGAGAGGGGATGCCTCTACCGTCCTGCCCAGGGGAGGGGGCACGGTGATCTGCACAGCACAGAGGTGGCGTGGGTGGGGGATGGGGGGGGTCTCATGGGCCCAGTGGCAATCTAGTCTTCCACGGGTGCTGCTCCACCCATCAAGGGGATCGCGCATTGATCTTTCTGTGTATCTCTTTGGAAATGGTCAGTGACCGCAAGTCAGTTTCTAACCAAGATTAAGCACCTTAACTTTTGAAGGAAAAGGCATTTTCTCAGCACCACAAGATCTTGAGTTTTCCATATATGCCTCTTTAGTATGTTTTTATATATGTATGTTTTATGTAGTATGTTTTTTATATATGCCTCTTTAGTATGTTACGTAACTGGTCTGTTAGTAAAGGTAAAGGTTCCCTTGCTCGAAAGCCAGTCGAATCTAGGGTTGCGGTGCTCATCTCCGTTTCAAAGCCGAAGAGCCAGCGCTGTCCGAAGACGTTTCCGTGGTCATGTGGCCGGCATGACTAAACACCAAGGCGCATGGAACGCTGTTACCTTCCCACCGAAGTGGTACCTATTTATCTACTTGCAATTTCTTGCTTTCGAACTGCTAGGTTGGCAGGAGGTGGAACTAGAGACGGGAGCTCACTCCGTCTTGCGGCACCCGGGTCTCGAACTGCTGAACTACTGACCTTCCACAGCCTGCAGTTCAGCGTCTTAATCACTTGAGCCACTGCAGCTCCAACTGGTCTGTTACGTAACGTCTAACCAACATTATTTTTACCATTTGTCGGTAAAGGGCTCTCTTCTACATTCCAGCTGTACTAACAACATTCACTTGTGGCATGAAACGTTAGGGCCAAAATGGGAATGACACCGTAAGGTCTGTGATGGTTTCTTCCCGTCATTTAAAAAAGGCATTTTATTTATGTATTTAATTCATACCCCACCTTTCTCCCCGATGGGGACCCAAAGTGGTTTATATCATTCTCCTCTCCTCCCTTTTATGTGTTATATGGGGGTCCCCTAATTCGTATCAGATGTGACAGATTTCTTTAACAGTTTTGCTAATTGAACCGCCACCTGTATTAGCCACCCTCTCTTGGAACGTCTTTCCTTCCTTCCAAGGTTAACTACTGCAGAAGGAGGTCAGCTTCAGCAGCCAAAACCATTCAGGGGGGAAGGGTTAAACCCCTCCTTCCACCATGCCTTAGGCCCTGTTCACCTGCTGTTAGCTGTTTTATAAACATTAGGGAGATCCAATCACAGTGCCGGCGTCTTTTTTGACCCTCACATCTGAGATCTGTGCATGTTTGCAAACATTTCACTTGATCACTGGCAGCTGAACATATGGAGGGGCTCCTCTGAGAAAGTGAGGATATGTAAATTCTGCTTCTGTTCTTTGACCCATGATGGCTCATTTTTGTTCATGCCAAACGATTTTAATGCTGCAGTAATCACATGCATTAAACATTGTCCTACAAAAAACGCAATTCCAAAGCCAACTGGGCTTTGCTCACTAGAGCATCTTTTCGAGACAGAACTCTTGGCAACCGTTTCCTGTTCTTTTGGGGATTTGCACGGACACGTGGATGGATGCCAGCAGTAAGCAAGCACTTCCTCACACACACACACACACACACACACACACACCACTGCTGTGTGGGAATGCCGTTTGCCCTTCTTACCATCCAGGGACAGCCAGTCGTGCTGGGAGGAAGGCAGCGTCGGCAATGCCCTCGCTTTGTACTCAAAGACCACCGAATTGGAGATGATCTGGTTGTTGAAGGCAACTTGCAGAGTGACTAGCCCGGTGTCATGAGCTGAAAAACAAGGGAAGCGTGGTGAATTAAAGGGGGGGGAGCATTTTCCAAGCAAGTCTAACTTAACATTGGTGGCTCAGGAACCTTCCATTGATCACCTGCCAGCAAGACTGTTTTCTGAATGGAAAGTGCAGTGGTGAGTTCAATGTATTCCCTCATTTGCTCTGAGATGGCATTAGAGGCAGTGTGCATCTGGTGGGCAATAGTATGTTCCTTGCCTGAATGCAGAGACGGTGGCATCTAAATTTGTGGCACCAAGAAGTATCGTGGAACCCTGACACTAGGGACCTGTTTACATGTTCATGTTTGACACAGAAATCTCACTACAGAAACCCAAATCATTCTCCTGCTTGTTGTTCTTATAAACATCCCCTCATTTAGGTGAAACAGACAGGAGGAAGAGGAAGGAGGAGATTAGATTTATACCCCACCCTTCGCTACCTGAAGGAGTCTCAGATGGCAGCTTACAATCTCCTTTCCCCGCCCCACAACAGACACCCTGTGAGGTAGGTAGCTCTGAAATAACTTGTAACTCACCCAAGGTCACACCAGCAGCTGCATGTGGAGGAGTGGGGAATCAAACCCGGTTCTCCCAGATTAGAGTCCGACCTCCTAACCACTACACCAAACTGGCAAGACACCATAAGAATGTAAGAGGATGCTCACTGGATGACACTAAGGTCCACCAAATCTGTCTCCAACAGCAGTCAACCACATGCCTTCTGGGGAAGGAGGTGGTGGTATCCTAAGCAGGGCACGGTAGGGACAGCCATCTCATGTTCACCTCCAGCACTGGATATTCAGATGCATACTGCCTCTGAACATGGAGATTCTGTCTAGCCATCCTTGCAGTGGCATCCTCCAAAGGCAAAGGCTGTGGTCCCATCCTCCAGCAGTAAATTCCATCAGTTTTCACTGGAGCAGCTTCACATAGCTTGAATCTCTTCCCTCTTGAGCTTGGTGCATTTAAGACAACAGAGATGTCTTCAATTGAGAATCCCATGTAAAAAAATAGCGACGAAACTCTCACTAATTGGCAGGCATGAATTTTTGCAGGCAATAGCCTTCTTCCTTAGAAGCATCATGCATCAGATTGCTCTGATTTGTGTTATAAGGACTATAGCCATGACTGTTAAACCAATACCTCCATAATCAAAAGCAGTATAGCTTAGTGTATCAGATGCTGGAGACTAATGACAAGAAGGCTCATTTGTTTCCCAGGTATGTGGCTGGTGGCGCTTCGAAACCAGATGATGAGCTAAATCTGATCCAGCAAAGCAATTCTTTATGTTCACAAGCAAGGATTACAAAGCTGCAAAGGAATCCCCACACATACACACATCTGACTGAAACTCAGAAATATACAGGAAGCTTGTCAGAGGTTTTTTTTTTTTTTTAATGAGCACACAAATGCATGAGAATTCCTCACCTGGGCAGTAACAGCGCAGCACCCCTGGCTGTATTAAGGAAGCAGGCACAGAGATCTGATCAAACAGACAGCTGTAGTTATTGCTGGCTTCCTGCCATGGGCCTGTGATAAGCACCTTCACGCCCCCCTGCAAGGAAAGAGAGCAGATGGTGTCAGGTTGCAAAGGCGAATGTGAGGGGTTGCACAGGCAACTGGACCGGGCACATCAGAGGCTCTCCTGCCCTGCAAGCTTAATATAAAATGTAGGGAAAAAGAGAGAAACCCATCAGAGGGGCTCCCAGCAAAGCAGGATGATCCCAAAATTGAATCTGGGATAACCAATGCCAGGGAAATTGGGCAGATCATGCTGGAAAAAGAAAGACAGAGAGAGACTTCCCTGTCTAGATCTGCAAATGGGAACTGGAAATCACAGACAGTGTGTTATTGTCTTTATACTATTCAGTGGGGGAGAATATTGATGGTGACCATATCTGGTACCAGTCGTCTCATTTCTGTCAATCTCCTGAAGATTATCAGGGTGAGTTTAGATCTGTCAGATCTGGGTTGAATGTTCAATTTACTCTCTGCCTTGGGCAAGGGGCTGTTCACCTCAGTTGTCCATCTGAAAAATTGGGACAGCAGAAATTGTCAGTTATTGATCAGATGATTACCTCATAGTATCTTATTTAAATATTTCAAAATTAAACAGTTTTAAAAACCACACCCCAAACAGCAGTATCAAAAACCATCCATGTTGACTCCAATAAACAGTGATTATAAAAGTTGTAGCAGCAACTAGGAAAGGGTTTAGACTGAAGAGATCAGAACATACTTTAACCAGACTTAAGATGGTTAAGGAGAGCTGGAAACAACTAGTAATCAATAAGAAAAGGGCAACTTTGATGGGGGGAAAATGGAAAGAGAGAAAAGCCAGCTTCCTCAATTGTCCCTTCAGAAAAGGGGAAGGGGGTTTCACAAGGAGGATAACAGCTCATTTGCTTCCACAAATCTGTTTGTCTTTAAAGGGTGTCACAAGACCCCTTTCTATTTTTACTGCAACAGGCTTATGTGGCTCCCACTTCCATTTTTTAAAATATGAAAAACAGCCACGGAAAGCACAGTGTGGGGAATCGGAAAGAACTATTTCCCCTTTGGCTGTTTTTCTTTTTAAAAAATCCATTCCATCCAATACTTTTCCAACTGTGGAGAAAAGACACTAGTGTCTACTGATTATATTAATTTATTCCTATAGTGGAAAAGCAGAGACTGATTCTGGGTTAACAAATGGCTCAAGGGAAATAGTAAAGCATCCCCCTCCCCACCCTAGCTACTCCACTCAAATGTGTAGCCTCCCAAGGATTATTTCAGTTCTATAAAAAGACGCCAGGAGATTCTTAGCTCTGTCTCGCCCCTAAAGTCTACTTTGACTCCCAGAGTAGGAAATTGTTTGATTGTCTGAGGCTGCAACCAGACAATAAGAATGATTTCAGAGAGGTTTTGCTACCCAAGTTGTAAATACAGGGTTTGGGGGGAGTGTGTGTCTGTTTCTCTCATCACTGAACAAAAAGGCTTGGTGTGTTCCCTTGGCATTCTGCTGAACAGAAAAATGCATTAGCAAAGGATGTGAAGTCTCAGGACCAGAGCCTTAGTTGCATTTGCTGCTGCTCTGCTGCCCCCATGTGGCAAAAAGACAGAAAGATGTTCTCAAAATAGTTCGCAGAGAGGGAAGGCTGGGCTGGGCAACACAACTCTTCCCGCGCCGGCCCTCTGAGCTCCAAACCTGCTGCTCAAAAGGAGTGGGAACTGAAGAGATGCTTCCACTGTCATGGAGGGGGATACTGGAAGAACAATTGTCCTTCGCTGGTCCAGAAAACCAGTGAGACAAAACCTGCAAGGATACGGAGTGTTGCACACGGTCCTACAGCCAGCGCTCCCTCAGGCTGGCATACTTCCCTCAGTGCTACGAGGATCTGACCAGCATGGGAGACAGAGAGCTGTATGGATGAAGGGGCTCAGGAGTGGAGATCTTGTGAATGCATGCAGGTTTAGTAAGCCTTGATCAAATTCCCCCTAACACTGCTTCACACAGTATTTCAGAAAGACTGGAACACTCTATGGAAGGAGACCCCTCTCCTGTGTTCTTTGGTCCCCTGCCCATCTTCTCTGGAACAAATGAAGATGCTCTGGGCAGAGGTGGAGCCCTCCTCCTCCCTTTGGTCACCCAGTCTGCCTGCCTGTCTTCCCATTTCACTTGCTTTGCCCTGGCAGGCAGTGAGGAGGATCCTACGGTGCTCACCCCCCCCAAGCTGATAAAACACCAGAGAAGACGGGCGAGTGGGAGGGTCTTCCTTGCCACTCTGTAGGAAGATGCAGATGACTGGCTTTCTGCTGCATGTATCGCTGTGTCAGAGATGAACACAGTATTGGGACCTTAGCATATGCTGACAGGCCAATGGGTTAGCAGAAGTTTAGATATCTCATTATGTTTCTCCCAAGGGAAAAGGCTCCTGGAGGTAAAAACCCTGTGAGGATTAAAAAGCCAAACCGGCCCCGGAGCTCACCTCAGGGTAAGACCACTCTGGCGAGTAATCTGTCACCATGAAGAGGCGCCCGCTCTGCTGGAGCATCCCGAGTGTGCCTTGCGTGGCGGCCGCTGACACCACCTCTGTCACATGCATGTACGCCATGGCACTGGCCCCATTCTCTGTGCTGCTGAGATGCAGGTTGGCTTGCTGGGGGCTGCAGCACGGAATGCACATCTCCGCCTGGCTGTAGGAAGCCCGGTTCCCGTCTTCCTGCTGCGACAGCCCAGCGCTCTCCCCCGATACCAGCTGGTGCCCGTAAATGGTGTTGCTCCCACCTTCCACCGAGATGAAATCATTAATAAGGTCGGAAAACTGGTTGCTAAAGGAGATGTCGAAGTGGTCCAAGCTCAGCTCCATGTTGGAGGTGTTGTTTAAGCTCGGGTGGGCGACAGGGTAGAGGCCTTGCACCATGTTCCCTTGGAGAATGGGCAGGTTGCTCCCGTTTCTCAAGGTGCCGTTGGCTTCAGGCTGCATATAGTGCTCTGTGCTGCAGGTCTGGAGGTCCCCTGATTTCAGCAGATTCTCATTCCCTTCCGCCTGCGGTGAGGTCTCCATGGGAACTTCCCCTTCCGCCGCCATGGTCTGAAAGTTTGCCTGGAACTGCATGAGCTGAAGCGAAGAGGTGGACTCGATCCGGGCCTCCACTGTGCCATTGCAGTTGGAGGTGTTTTGGGAGGAGGCCTCTGTCTTCACATTGGAGAGCCCGAGAGGGTTGACGAAGGAACCGCTCGTGTCGCTCAAGTTGCTGTGGGTGTTTTGCTCTAGGGGGAGAGGTTTGCTTGTGTCTTGTAGGAAGAAGCTAGGGGAAGGGGTCTGATGGACGTGGGGACTCTGGACGGCCTGATTGAAATTGGAGGAGTAATCCTTGTTGGAGTCAATCGCACTAAAGTCCATTTGCTCCAAGGTGGTGCTTGGGCTCAGGCCTCCTCCGGAAGGAAGCAAACTGGAACCGGTTGTGAGGGTGAGCGAATTGGACGACGAAGAGGAAGAGAAGGCCTCTTTGGACATCTGTTGCTCAAAGGATGTGTCCTCGGTTTTAATCTCCTTGGTGAGGGCCGTGCTGAAGTTGAACCCGCGTTCCGTCGTGGGCGACTGCCTGATGTTGGTGTCTCCTTTGGGCCCCCCTCCTCCGTACGTCTGTCCCTGCTTGGGATTGTTAAGGAAGCAGTCCGGGTCAAAATTCATGGTGGTTTCTGGGATCTTCCTGCTGCTGTCGAGCGTCGTAGAGAGCACCAGCTCTTCAGAGACACTGGCAGGCAACATGGAAAGACCCTCCGAGCTGCTGGCCGTTGGGAAGGCAAACTTGTGGCCGTCTGAACTCACAGCCAGTACCAGTCCTTGTGCAGCAGTGTCTGAGGCGAGGAGGTGCTGATTTGGGCCAGTGGTGGGCGACATGGTGTAGACACCCTCGCTGGTAACATCCGACATGAAGACCGTGGCGCTCTGTGACAAGTTGCCCATCACTGAGGCCACGGCCATGCTGGAGACCCCGGTGACTGCTGGACTGTCTGCCACATCTGGATCACTGTTCAGGCCGCTGCTGATGGACACAGGAGAATTCTGGGTAGTGTCAGGAACTTCAACCTGATTGGTCGAGGAGACCTCCGTACTGTTCTGGTGGAGAAGCACCGGCTTTGCCACTTTGCCGTTCCTCTTCTCCCTGCTGGAGGACTTGCCGTGGCTGTGCTCGTTCTTGCCTTCGGAGACGTCATTGTTCTGCACCTCGGAGTGGGCGCTGTACCCGCCTGACCTCGGTTCAACCTTTGGTGATATGATGCGGTGTTTGGCACTATTGCATTTGTGGTGCACGCTGCTACCTGCGCCTGTCCCAGAGAGGAAAACAAACCTAGGTTCATTAATTGGAACACAAAACCAGCCCAAGATTGCATTGCTGTTTGCCTGTGCCACTGATCCCAATAAGGTAAACAACCTGGGTCAAAGCAGATTGGTAATTTTAGGCATGGCTGTAAACAGAGTTAGAGGAAACCCACAACATGTTTAGAAATCAAGCTGCTGAGGGCTAAAGGGCTTGAACTGCAACCCCAAGAACACCCCCCTTCAGGCTGCCATATTTACTCCTGCAATTGACAGGCAGTATGAGGCCTCTAGATAGGTCAGACTGGATATGCACATGGTGTGTCTAGCCTTCTGTCCTTGCCAAGTGAAACCTGTGTGCTTCCTTTCCCATTGTTCTCTATTGTGTTGCAGCCAGAGATGTTTCAATCTAATATTTTGCCAAAGTATAGCATTCTCTGCTACTCGTTCTCCGCAGACATCTGGATCGAGGCGGCGTGGCGGCACTGTTGTTATTAGATCTGTCGGCCGCATTTGATACGGTCGACCACCAGCTGCTGGCCCACCGCCTCGCCGACGTGGGGATCAGGGGGCTTGCCCTTCAATGGCTCGCCTCGTTTCTCCAAGGTTGGGGACAGAGGGTAGTGCTAGGGGAGCGACAGTCCCAGAGGCATCCGCTTGAGTGTGGGGTGCCTCAGGGGGCTGTCCTTTCCCCGATGCTGTTTAACATATATATGCGCCCCCTCGCCCAGATTGTCTGGAGGTTTGGGCTGGGGTGTCATCAATATGCAGATGACACCCAGCTCTATTTGATGTTGGGCGGCCGGTCGGACTCTGACCCAGAAGATCTGCACCGGGCTTTACAAGCTGCAGCTGGATGGCTCAGGCTGAGCAGGCTGAAGTTAAACCTGGCGAAGACGGAGGTCCTGTGCCTGGGTCAGACCGGATCAGGGCTAGGGCTCCCACTCCCGGCCTTCGATGGGGCACCTTTGGTGCCAGCTTCGGAGGTTAGGAGTTTGGGAGTGCTCCTGGATCCCTCCTTAACAATGGAGGCCCAGGTGGCAGCCACTGCCAGATCGGCCTTTTATCATCTTCGGCTGATACGGCAGTTGGATCCTTTCCTTGACCCCAATTACCTAGCTACAGTGATCCATGCGACAGTCACCTCGAGTCTGTACTACTGCAACGACTTCCGGTGATGTCAGGGGGTGTTGCCTTATGACACACTTCCGGTGATGTCAGGGGGTGTGGCATATGCTAATGAGTTATGCTAATGAGTTCCCCTAGCTCTTTTTCTATGAAACGATGCCTGCTTTATACATTTATTCCAGTCGGATCCATCCTGTCTGCCCCATGGCATTTCAAATACTCCAGCCTCTAGTTTCACAAACGTAATGACCACCATGTCTTTCTTAACTTCTGTTATCTACACTACAACGGACCCAGGACAAATAGTGCCAGAAAGACATGGTGATGGCTGGTATTTATGTTTCCAAGGAAGAATGGCTCTGGCTTCTTTGTCCCAGTATGCACTGGTGCGTCCTGAGATCTATTGCCCAGGCAGTCTAATCTGATTGGTCAGTTTTGCCATTTTGAGATTCAGCCCAAATACAGAAGGGGCTTCCTGTATATACTCTCCAAGAAATACCTTTAGTTTCCTTTTGTATTTAATATCCAGCCTGGATTTCTGTGCATCTTCAAAGTCTGCTTATAGTTTTGTTAATTTTGATCTGTCCTAATAAAGGTATTGTTGGGATTTATTCTCTAATAAACTAACAGAGCTGGCTATGATTTTTTTTTACATTTACCCCTAATGCAGCTTTCAAAATGCTAGATTTCATGCAAGATAGAAAAATGGTTTAATGAAGACTCTTTTAGGGAGAAGCCATGCAGTTTCCAGGTATGGCAACAAAAACAGTTACAAGGAATACAACCTGAGGATGGGGAGCATAAGGTTATGAATGAAATTGGGGTGTGTGTGCCCACTGTACCATCTAACGTTTCACAGATAAAATAATAATATACCCTAATTCTCTTCCCAAAGATTGCTGCCCAATCGTTCCCCCGAGAGCTTCTAGCTGCTCTCCACTGTCTGCCGTCTGCTGCTTTAATCAACTCTATGACTGCATGTAAAAGCCACAAAGGTGTTTAGGATTTTGGTTAAAGGCTTTTTTTTTTTTTTAAAGAACTGTCTGACCAGATCCTCTCACAGCTCAAATCTATACATGCCTATAAATACACATGCAAGAACACTAGTGTTCATGTGCATGCATTTATAAGGCATGTACAATGGAGGCACGGTGCATCCACCTCCCATTTGGAGAGTAAGGGCCAAACGGCACACTGATGCTCTGGATCCCCATAAATGTAAATTAGATGCAAAAAAACCCAGCTATAATAAGCTGGTGTGTGGGGTGGGGGTGTGTGTTCTTTGCTCCTATACATTTTCCCTGATCAGAAATTTCGCCCCTCCCATGGGGCTGTTTAAACCCTCAGAAGGGAAAAAAGGCAGGTACATGTACTATGCCTGCCTTTTTTCACTAACAGGGCATAAAGCACCCTTGGTGGCTAAGAGTTAAGCCTTTTGCCCCAGCACTATGGCCCACATCTAAATTGTCTTCCCTCCCTAAATGTCCACAGATCCTGGAGGTAAGGACATGGATCCCCGAAGACTGACATCTCTCGCAATTCACCCCAGACCCTTTCGATCCAGTTTCAGGCCTGACAACTGAGTGGGAAGCACAGCTCTGCCCCTCGGCATGAACTGCTGTATCCTGCTCCTCAAGGGAGACTGAGCTTGGCACCAAGCTTAGCTCTAGAAGTTTCCACAGGATGTTCAGCCCAGATGCAGAACCCATACTATGTCTGGACAAAGATCATGAAGAATGATGGAGATCTCTGAAATAAGTGTATGTTTATTTATTCTGCATAATTTGTTTAGTAAATGGTGTCGAAGGCTTTCACGGCCGGAGTTCATTAGTTGTTGTAGATTTTCCAGGCTGTATGGCCATGATCTTGGCATTGTAGGGCCTGATGTTTCACCAGCAGCTGTGACTGGCATCCTCAGAGGTATAACACAGAAAGATGGAGTACTCTCTGTGTCAAGGTGAGAAGAAAAACGGTAGGCAGGTAATTTATATCTACTCAGGAAGATGGGGTAGGGCTGAGTCATTATCTTGTAGGAGTTCCCCAGGCTGTGACATGCTAATGGAGGAGCTTTCCTGAGGAGGTTCTTTTGTATATGGATTGGATGTTTAAATTCTAATCTTATCTGTAGTGCCATTGTAAGATGTAGAGCATTTTGTGTTTTTTCAGGAATGTTTAGCGAATGTTTTGAAGTTCTGGAGAGAGCAGAAAAGGGGCAGCCATGGGAGATGAAGACAAAAGCAATGGGGCTAATCTATGAAGGGCTCATGAGCTCTACCCTCTAAGCATTGGAAGCACTGCCTGAGGTCTCCTTGCTGCCATTTCAAACTTTTCTGCACACAACCTTGAAGACTAGAAATTTTACTTTTAAAAAGAAAAGAGTTCTGCGGACATACAAACCACACAGAGTCTAGGCTGAGTGATAAAGAGCAATAAAGAGTATTCTTAAGCATCTGATTGTTGCTATAGGGGGTCTTGCAGCCAACTTTCTAACGTGAGTTAACCTTATCTGTACTAAACAGAATCACACATGCCCAGGGCTTTTTTTGTAGAAAAAGCCCAGCAGGAACTCATTAGCATATTAGGCTACACCCAACAGCAGACACTCATTAGCATATTAGGCCACACCCTTGACAGCACCACTCATTAGCATATTAGGCCACACCCCCATGTTACCAGAAGTGTGGTCATCCAGCTACCCACCTTTTGCTTCTTATTCTGTTGACCTTGTTGTCAAAACCCAGAGGGTTTTTTTTGTAGCAGGAACTACTTTGCATGTTAGGCCACACACCCCTAATGTAGCCAATTCTAATGAGTTTCTGCTGTTGGGTGTGGCCTATTATGCTAATGAGTTCCTGCTGGGTGTGGCCAACTCGGGAGCCAGCCGGAACTCCGTTCCTGTGCGTTCCTGCCCAAAAATAGCCCTGCACATGCCCCACCCCATGGTTGTGAATCAGGACATGCACAAGAAAGGAAGGAAGCAATCTTTTACAACAATGGAACAAACTGAGCTCAGCAATGTCTTATCCTTCTTCAGATTCCTTTGCAGTCTTTCTTCCTTCTTACGAGGGGAATACACCAGGCTACCTCCAGGACTGCCAACCTCCAGGTGGGGCATCTCCCAGAATTACAGCTGATCTCCAGACTACACAGATCAGTTTCCCCATAAGAAATGGCCACTTTAGAGAGTGGACTTTACGGCATTATATTCCTGAAAATGCTGAGATCCTTCACCTCCCCAGAGCCTGCAATCTCAAGGCACTGCCCCCAAATCTCTAGGAATTTCCCAAGACAGATCTAGCAACCCCGGCTACCTCTCCATACATGCTTGCCTGCTTTGCACCCTGTCCTACAACCCCAGGAGCCTTTGCTTGGCTTTCAGGCTGGTCTGCAAATTCCATCCAGTCTGCCTTATTTGTTGCCACACTCCTGCTACCTCTCTGGCCATCAGGACTTGGAGGCCATGGAGGCACTTTATTCCTCAAAGAGTGTCTGGTGGATAACAAGCAACATCTTTTGAACTGACCTCACTGCCTAGAAAAGCTAAAAAATGGGCCTGCGATATGAGATCTCAGGGAGCTGGTGTGGGGGGAGAATACATCTGTGTCTGATTTTCAGCTAGGTGAGAGCCATGTTCTCATCCCATTGACCCTGGAAAGTGCCCAGATCTGGTGACTGACAGGATCTGGCTCCAGAGAGGGCAGAGTTACCTGCAAGCAACTGGAGAATGTCAGGGTGGATTTCTGCAGCCCCAGCAGAAGGCCAAGCTAAAGCCACAGCTCCTGGGAGTAAAGGTTAGGGAAGTGCTCAAGAGGCTTTGAGGAGTGGGAATGCAGGGGGCTTTGGACTTCAATTGAAAGCTGTGATTTGGGATTCTTTTTCAAAGGCTCTGTTGCTGAATTTGCCTGTAATTGTGATGGACTGTTGATATTCTGTTCCATTCCATTTTGGGGATTAATCTGGTGTGGCAAACAGTTATGAACACATGAAGCATCCTTATACTAAGTCAAGGTCAATTGTCTACTCTGACTGGCAGCAGCTCTCCAGGGTCCTCGATCAAGGCCCTGAACTTCTTAACTGGAGGTGCTGGGGACTGAACCTGGGACCTTCTGCCAGATGTTCTGTCACTGAGTCATGGCCCCTCCCTGGGGTTTACGTACCTAATCAAGGGTCATTCAGTTTGCTCCTATCTGTTATTATGCTGGTGCATGTATGTTTGCAAATTATGCTGGATCTCTTTTTTGGGTTGGGGGCAGATATTTTAAATAAAAAAATTGCCTAAGTCCCAGGATCAGGAGGGGTTTGACCCACAGGTTATGTGTTCAGGCTTGAACATTTCTCACCTCCAACACATGCCTCTGAACAAGGCATCCAACCTGCTGAGCTCCTACGGCAAGCCCCATAGCACCTGACAGACCCTCCATCATGGATTTCCCCCTCATTGCAGCCTCTGCAACATGGCAATGGTCCAAACACATGATGAAAGTGTTCTTCAGCTGTACTGCAGACAAGATGGAACACTCCCTCATGGAAAAACATCTCTGCACATAGAATACTAGAAGCCAGGAGGATTGTGTCCCCCCCCCCCCCAAAAAATGGGACAAACGTTCCTGCAAACAATGGCCCATCTGTAGTCTGCAGTGTTACAGTCCAGGAAAAAACTTCCCTACAGGGTGAGCTGGCTGTCTAAACTGGGTCATGGGGGCTCAGGCCCATAGCTACAGTGGGGCTTTGGGGGGCTCTGCCCCTTTCTTAAAGGCACAGCCCCACAAGAATTTCTCCTGTAAATGCTTTTTTCAGTCATTTAAAAACATTTTTAAAGACATGCGCTCCTTTAAGCAGAGTGGGGTGCTGTAGTTGACTAATTCCCGTACTGAGCAATTAGGGTTGGAGTCGGTGACCTCTAGGACTCCTTCTAACTCTGTGTCAAGAAACTGGTCTCCTTTAAGAGAGTTTTTCTGCCTAAGTGTTAGCTTTCTTGCCTACAGAAGTCATCACCCCTACCTGCACGCTTATTATCAGAATTGTTGCTTAGGCTGCCAGAAGTGATTGACTTGCAGCAGCTGAGAACTGTCATCTAAAGTGGTTGACAGGTTGCAATTTAGAGATCTATCCTGGTAACAGCTTTCTATTGGCTAAATGGCTTTTCTTTCTGCATTGAGAACTTCAGCACCACCAGAAATTTTTTTGCCACACAAGCCACAAAATCCTGGCTACAGGCCTGTGAGGGCTGCATTGGGAGGCCATGATAATAGCAAGTGTGCCAGGAGCATTCTCAGCTGGGTCTTTACAGTTTGCTAACCCTTGGGCATTTTGGTGGATATGGGCCAATTAAGCGATTTCAGAATCCCCATTGTGGAGCAAAGAAGAGCAGAAAGCAGAAACTGGCCAGCTGTGTAAGGGTCTGGAAAAGTTGCTGGTGTGGGAAGGCCCTGCTGACTGGCGGTGGAAGTGAGTTAAGGCATCTGGGGTATCTTGCCGGATCAGACCATAATGTCCATTTCATCAGGCATCCTGTCTCCAACTGCAGCCAATCAGATGACTGGGGGGCGGGACTCCCAAGCAGAGGTGACAGACTGTCCCCTGTTGTTAACGTCAGCATCTGACATGTAGAGAGAGACTCCTGGGCCTCAGCCCCAGCATCTGTTTGCAATGCCGGCTCTCAGCCCCAGAAGATACTGGATTACAAACAGATTAAATTATCCCCGAGCAAGCACAGGAAGTACTTCGCATGCTGCTGATTAAGGGGAAGCACTATCAACTTGAGCCCAGTAGTTTTTCTTCTAAGCACAATATGCTGCCTCCATACCTGAAGGTTCCATTTAGGGTGCCGTGGCCAATAGCCCCAGCTGGAGAAATCCTCCTTCACAACACTCAGTGTGCTGTGGAACTCTACAACGTCTTGAAACGTTGAGAGCAACATAATGTAGTTCATTCCAACTCCTTGGTGCTTTCCGGCCCGACCCCAAAGGTTTTGCTGCTCACCCAAGTTGCCAGTGCAAAGGCAATTGTGCGTCCGAGGCTGTGGTTTGGTCTGGTGACTGTCCAGGATCTGCTGCACCAGCTGCTCCACTGAGAACCCCGAACTGCTGTTCCCATTGCTGCATGTCCACTTGATGCCATGAACTGTGGAGAGAATGACAGAGGGGCCTGTCAGGGACCGCACAGCAGGCAATGGGCCAAAGCTAGCCCTGAAAGGGAGTCAGAAGCCAGTCCAAAGCTTCCTGGCTGCTTGCAGATCTTAGATTGTGTACAGACTATGTGGAATCATGGCAGTGAGTCCCCCTTCCCATTAAAGGCTGAGACAAACAAGATGAGAGTCACGTGTCTTGTTTCTCCCAAAAATGCAAATTGTAGGCTCCCACAGCCTCAGTTTGCCTCCGGGTTGTGTAGCGAAGAA